CCTGGACGTGATGTGTAGCTTTAAAAGCCTAACTTTGGACTCGGAGTATGTATTTCATGTACGCACTCTGTCAGAATTACGTGCTCCGGCTCAGCCTGCTCCCGTTCGTTCTTTCCTGAGATATGCGGTATGCAAATGTAACTTACTGCCACTGTTTCTCCTCAGAAATCATTCTGAAATACCTTTTCCTTTTTTTTCTTCCATCCTAGGTGGACTTTTCATGAGGAATACTGTTCAGGAGCACAGTGCATTTCGATTTGCTGTGCAGTTATACAACACGAACCAAAATACCACAGAAAAGCCCTTCCATTTGAACTATCATGTAGATCACTTGGACTCTTCCAACAGTTTTTCAGTGACAAATGCTTGTAAGTACAAAATACATGTTTTTTTAAATATATATTTTATTCATTATCTGTCCTTACATTCGATTTCTCCCTGGTAGCCTAGAGTTCTTGTTCATATAATAGAGTGCAACAAATGTGTGTACTGACATGAGTTTTAGTAGATTTGCAGCGTTATATGGTCGAGTAATACCTTAGGGAAAGTTCTCTCACCACTTCTTTTCACCCCTTTGGTTTTGTTTTCCAGAAAAGCCACCATGTTATTTATGTAGCAGCGCTGTGTAGCTGTGATCAGTGAATTGCCGCTGAAGTAACATCCCTTTTCTGTTGAGGCTACAGCCTAGCCATGTGAAACAGCATCATTTGCAAATAATACCATGTAGGAATAAAACGGAAACAGCTGTTTGCAAGTGACCTTGAGGGGACAAAGCTAGAGGGGCTTACTTGCCTCCTCTGCCCTGAAATACTGGGTTGTTTTCTTACAGTGAAAGTCCTGTTAAAGCTAAGGAGACTGTAAACTGACAAATACCGTTAGAGCTGAGGGGAGATGAAATGGAATCAGAACGCTTAGCGTTATGAGAAATAGCTCTGCATAAGCAGTGCATACGTATAATTTGAGCCTTTAATAACAGAAGCAGCAAAATAGAACTTTGAGTAGTGTTAATGTGGTGTTAAAATGTGAAATCTCCTTCTGAAAGACTGGTGTGTGTTCTGCATTTAAAAAAGCATTCCTTTCTTTACCAATAGTAGTTCCTGAATATTTGTTTTACTGATGTGTCCAAATTCAGTCTTATACAGTTTTTATCGTAAACATTTGAAAACGAATGGAGCCTTCTGGCAAGGAAGTTGCATGCACCGTCCAATATACAGAAATATGTCTGTACATGGTCTGAAGGACCCCCGAATGCAATGTACTAACTTTGTGTTATGAACAGGATTCCTGTTCGTATACTCACAGTATAAAATGTTCGAAGAGGAAGCATTGTACTCCAATGAAGTACTGGAGTACAGAAAACTGGTATCTCTTGCTTTAAAACAATTTCATGTTTTGAATATTTTTTTTTAAATTTTTTCTATGTTGGGGGTAGGATAGTTCTTATATTCCTGCCTTACACTGTGTAATCGGAAGGCTGGACAAGTGGGTATTTTATTCTTCTAGGATTTCAGGTGTTTTCTGAGAAAGTTGATCGTTAGAAAATACACAATAAGGAAATATTTGGACAAATTTTGGATTGATATTCTAACATATCCCCCATGTGACTGCTTCTTGCTAGTGCAGCATTACACTTTTTAAAGGGCTTTGAATTAGGACCTCTAAAACTTTTGCGGGGGGTTAATTATATAATATCCAATAAAAATATTTGGTAAAGCGGAAAAAAATGGTAAATAAAAGTGTGTCTGTACTTTGCATCTTATTTTACTAATCCTATCCAGCCTCAACAGCTCTTACAACAAACATCAGACTATTAATCCTTAATCAGTGTAATCCCTTCAAGAGGCTGTATCTCAAACATAGTTTCCTAAATAATCAATTATATGGATTTAAACTAAATACATTAAACTGCGTGGGTGATTAATTATTAATTGTTTTTTAAAAGTTCCACCAGCACTTCTTTACAGATCCCACCAAGACAAGTGAACCACACGCTCATTCAGAGGCAGTCAATGTATTATTTAGTCAGCGTGCTTCTCATCTTCTGACATCTAATGATTTTTGTCATTGCTTAGTGAAAGCTGTGGCAATTTTAGTAAGATGAGATGGTTTTCTGTAGTATAGGGCTGCATGTTCCAATGCACATATTACCAGTGTAGTAAAACTGGGAAAACTTAAATCTCTGGAGAAACCATAGACCAGAGAATACCAACCGACAGTAACCTATTTAAAAATAGAAGATGTGAAAAAAGAAACAGAAGAAAGAAAATTAAAAGGTGACCTTGTCCATAGCTATGTCAACCATCTTGTAATACTGTTGGTAGGAAAAGAATACGGTGAGTCCAAGCCACTGGTCATGTAGGTCTCAGTAGCTCAAAATAAAAAAAAAAAAAAATTAGAAAAAAAAAAAAGAACAGTTGCTCTTTTTGGCTCTGGAAGCAATTATCTTTTGAAAATCAGAATGCTCATACATATTGATGTATTAGGATGAAGGAATAGCTCCTCACACTACCCAGCTAACATGTAAAACATTTTGGCCTAAGTACCCTTAATCACATCCTCGCTTCCCAGTGGAGTGGCAGATAATTTCAGGGTGCTGCCGTATCCATGAAGAAATTCTTTCCACGACATTTTTACTTCTCTTGGAGATAAGCATAAATTGTCTCCAGTGCTGTCACACAGCCGTTTGATCAATATTTGCAATTGGCAGGGATCCATAGGAGCAAAACCTGCAGTGACTCTGACTGCCTTCATTGGAGAGGGAGACTGTGACTGACTTTGTGGTGGGACAGCTGAAGGAATGGAAATCTGAGAAAGTAGCGTGTGTAGCTTGAGCCTAGTGCCTGTACTAGTCCGTATCCATAAAATAATACTTTTCATTCTCCTTTGATTTGTATGATAGTGGCTGTCATAAGTGTTCATGTGTGCAAGAATTGAGGGGGGCTCTGCTCAGGAAAGACTTACATTCTTAGTGTACAGCTGCACATCCCGCTTGGTGCAATCTGGTGCATTCCAGAGGCAGGAGAAAAAAAAAAAAAAAAAATCTCTTCTGAAGTATCCTCATGAGCCAGAGATAAGAAGCCCACCTCTGGTAGGGCTGATTTGGCAATATCCCAACATGGGAACAAACTTGTTTAGAAGCAAAAGAAAATTCCTGCCCTAAGCCCCTCCCTCTCGTTCCTTTTTCAGTTAAATGATGCATCATCTGATTCATGTACATGTATTCCCTGCTTCACGGCTAGCACCGAGCCCTCTCTGTATCTTTAATTTACACGCATGCATACAGTATTCATCCACTCTCTATTTATCTGCCCACCTATTTATTTAGCTGTATGAGATCTTAACAGAGAGCAAATGCAAACACAGATGAAAATTCCGGTGTATTTAAAGGTGAATTGAAGTTTATTGGTTGGCCTGGGGGGGAATTGTTACATCTTTTAAAATACGCAGCTTTTTGCCATCAGAAAAAAAAACAACCAGAAAGAAAGTTAACTTGACCTGTGAATGAATAAAATCAAGTAAAACATGGATGTTATTTTCTTCAAAAACGCTCATGTAGGGAGTGAGCTGGCTTTTTCAGAATAATACGAATATAACAAGTCAAATGTATAAATTCATCACTGAAGTGTCTTTCATGCTTTTCTTACAACCTCTGATGAAGGATGTTAGTATTAATGTTGCATTATGCGTACAGGTCTGTAGATCATATTCCCTAGAAATAACCCGCCTATGTCTTTCTGCTCTGCACTTGTAGTGCACTATACTAACACTGCTCTAGCCTCTGCAGTGTCAGCTCATTAGCACACAGATCTCATATTCCCTCTCTGCACTGTCATTGCAAAAAATTGCTGTTGTACACCTTTACAGCCAACAAATGTGCACTTGCGTTATGTACAATTTTCAAGAAATATTTAGAAAAGTAAACTCAACCTTATAGTTAGCCCCCATGGAATTTCTCAAACGAAAGCATTAGTTTTCATTAAAATCTGTTGATCATGTAATGATAGTGGTGGGATGTGTACGGGTGAAAAGGGGCTGTGATTGCAGAATCTAATTAATCTACAGGCAGATTCCTTCTCTCAGCTAAGCCTAACCTATCAGCTGCGAATTCTTGTCCCTTTAATTCTTCTGAGTCATTTCTCATATATCTTCTGAACCAGAAGGCTTTTTATATTTCACCAAATGTTGATGTGTAGTGTTTTTTCCACAGGCACTCATTCTTTAAGAGACCAAAAAAAGAGGGAAGATACAATGACATGCTTACCTTAAGTTGCTAAAATCCTGTAAGTGATTGTACAGGCGCTTTCTTGAGCATGTCTGATTTCAGACTTTCTTAGAAAAATTTTCTTTAGCATCCTTGCAGTCCTTGTGTTTAATCTTTAAAATTCAACTCGGAAGATTTTAATGGAAAAAGTGCCTGTTTGTTGTTCTAAGAACATTGCAGAAAATGATACCACAGGGTTAGTAGCAGACCATTTTTCCAGTTTAACTCTATTTCTCCCTTTCCCAAAGCACAGGTGCATATAATATATATATGTTCATGTGCATACTCACTCACACATGTGCACACATGCACACTTTTCCCTTAGGTGCTGCTCAGCATTTCTTTTTGCCAGTGGGCAGATAGTTTGCTTCCCTTCCATCTGTGTACTCTTTGGCTAGCTGCAAAGGACACTGATGCCTAAAGTGGTCAGCTGCCTTTTGCCAAAAGCATAAGCATGTCTTGCTGAAAGTCTTGGCAAGTTTGGGCCATGTACTGGTGTTTTTTCATGAGGAGAGACCACAGGGTAGGTGCCTCATCCTCCCGATAAGGAATGCACTGTGGTTTCTCTCACAGAGGTAAAACACCTGGAAATGTGCTTTCTGCACAACTCTCTTCATTACAGATCCCTGAAAATGCTTTTTGTGCTGCAGACGGTGCTCAAGTTTTGTATGTTACTGCTGTGTGACAGAGAGTGTCAGCTGGCTTCTGTTTAGGGAATCAGAGGTTTTGCAATTTTGGGGTAGGTCAAAAGGTGAAGGGTGTGTTCCAACTAAAGTTTGTTTCCGCTTTGTGGCAGAGCAGATAATTTGTCATTAAGCTGAATGTGACCTCAGTGTTAGTAGAAGGAACCGTACTGCTTTCAAGTATGTTTTATTATTTCTCAAATGAATTTTAAAACAAGCTTACTCTCCTTTCTGTCCTCCTCTGCCAGATACATGGCATGTACATACTGTTTAGATGTTAAGGTTCCATTTAATTCACACTGTAGAGATGGGAAAAAATCTCATATGAATGGGCACTTTTTTGAGAAACTCTGAATTCACCAAATGAATGAAGAGTAAAGCACAATGAAGAGTGTTCTCCAGATTTGGAAAGATTTTGTGCAGA